TATGGCCACAACAGTTTCTCTCTGTTTCTCCTTAGACCCACAGCCTCACTATTACCACCATAACCACCTCTACCACACCACCCACTTCAAAAACCAAGCACGATTCTTTTCCCCAAAACACACTCACCCACTTGTTATCTTCCCCAAATCTGACCGTTATAACCTCATCTCTTCATTCTCTACATCCCACTCTTCTTCCTCGTCTTCAACTTCACCATCAATTCTCCAAAACCCACTTCTTCCAGGGCGTTTTCTCACCAATGAAGAGCTTGAAAAGCTTCAATCCCTTGAGGATTTCAGATATTACCAAGAATTGGAATCAGGGTCTATGTGGGTTCGAGTGATGAGGCAGGAAGAGATGGACATGACTGTTGAGTTGTTGGCAGAATCTTTTGCAGAGTCCATGTTGTTGCCTATGAGATATGTGAGATTCTTGGGGTTCTTGGTGAAACAGTACTTGATTGAGAGGAGAACTCTGATGCCCCACACTGCGATACTCATTGGTTTCTATAGAGCAGGTGAAGAACAGGATTTACAGTTGGCAGGGACCGTGGATGTTTGTTTTGACAAGAAGGGTGCTAATGCTTCTCCTCCCACACCAAGTCCTCCAAAGGATTCACCGTATATCAGTAATATGGCGGTAAAGAAGCCCCTTCGAAGGTTTGTATCGTTTCTTGGGTTACTGGATTTTATGATTTTCATTCCAAAGTATAGTTCTTGGTTGAAATTTGATAGATTCTTTGAGTTGGTGCAATAAGTTGTTTATATGGCCTGTTAATTAGGATCGTCAGGCATGCTTTTGGTACAATTTTCTTTAAATCTTTCATGCTTTGAAGAACATGTGAGGCTTCTAAGGAATTAAGGTGACATTAATTGTTCAATATGATACGGTTTTGTCAAGGATATGGGTAGCTTCTTGCATGTCCATGTCAATAGAGGAATTCGAGAAGATATTGTGTCTGAATGAAGTTGAAAGTGATAGTAGGAAGAAGAAAACTACTAAATTCATCAATGCCGTTCTTCATTTGGTTCCTTATTTTTCATCTGTCAGATTCGTTTGTGTTGTAATTGTGCATATTGTACATACTTAGTCTTATTAATTAACTACTCAGTTTGTTCTTGGCATATAGAAATCTATACTAGCATCATTTTATTATCGTATGTGAGCTTCATTTTTTATCAGTATGCTCAGTCTGTATTAAGTTAGAACCATTTAACATATAGGTTTGCTGATTTCTATTTTAGGCTCTGGCCCAGCGAAAAAGCCAATGTGCTAGTTTCATAGTTTATGTTCTCTCCGTGTCAATTTCTTTGTCGGATAAATGATAATTGTTAAAACACCCCTCCTTCTACCTCCCTGATTTAAAGTCAAAGCACTATCGACATGATAATTGTGCTGGAGTCAGTATGATGTCCAAATCATGATTCAATAATATAATGATAAGCTATTTGCGAACAAAATGCGAATGGTTTATGTTGGTATCGTCTATGGGGCACTATTCTGGAATTATGCCAAAGTTTTCAGCAATGCGGTTAGATGACCTGTAGGTCAGGAATTCTGTCTCATCTCTTTCCTTTTTCAGAAGGGGCATTGGTTGGCATCTTCTTAAGGCAAGTGAGGAACTAATATCTCAAATGAATTCCTCAAGGGAGGTTTACTTGCACTGCAGGATGATTGATGAAGCTCCATTCAAAATGTATACAAAAGCAGGTTATAGTATTGTTAAGACAGATAGCATCTTGATCTTGTTGACATTGCAGAGACGTAAGCACTTAATGCGCAAGCAACTTCCAGTCTCAAACAGACTTTCTGAAATGGATATCTTGGATTCTAATGAGGAACGTCCTTCATGATTGGATGTGGGAAAATGGAACATACTTTATGAGGTACCGGCGGTTACTACTACATGTATTTCTTTTGTCAAAGAAACACATAGTTTCCCTGAAACTGTTGCATTTTTCCGTGTGAATCACGGTTGTAAATTGTCCAAGTTGTAGAATACGTTTCTTTTTTTTTTCGTGGAATCTTTGCTACCTTCCCTGTGAATACTGTCTTAGAGAAATGTCTGCAGTGGACTATTGAATTCAATATCCATCCTGTTCAATCTATGTTATTCAATGCTTCCTAATTTCTGTTTTGGATCCCACTGGTAACATCGTGGTCTAATCGGCTCTTTAAGATAACCCAAATGCACTAATTTTGGGCTTGAATGCCAATCCGATTGTTTAGGGTGCCCTCGCTCTTGTGTATCATGTTTTTGGTTGAGCCATGTTCCCTGATAAGAAAATTGCATCAGAGTTCCTCATCTTTCAATAGTGTTTTCCAGTATACCATTGTCACATATGTATCATTTGTTGTTATGTGACCATACTTTACCCACTTCCTAGTAGATGAGAGGTGAGACAAAATTTTGTGTGTGGCCATAAAAAGATCTTCAACCTACCCTTCTTGCGCTTTCTCCTTTTATTCATGAAAGAAAGCCCAATTAGCCCCAAAGGTTACTGGTATAACTGTTAGTTTCCTTTCTTGCCAGCATCACAAAAAAAAGTGTTATTTTTTTTTTTTTTTGTTAAGGGATACATTGATAGGTCTTAAAACAGATTATGCTCTGTGGCATGTTTCAACTCGATTCTACAGAGCCCTTTAACAAACTTCCAAGTATTTGGTGATGACTAAATGGATCCACTTTACATTGAAGTTGGATTTCAAAGCCCAGGTGTCAGTGGAACTAGGATATTGTCTATTTACTTTCTCCAGTTTTTATACTTGCATTGACTAGTATAAACTCTTGTGTGCCCTAGACTAATGATGTTTCTTTCTCTTAGAACTTGAGCATATGATAACTTTCAGAACCCAGTTGAGATGATTGTCAGTATCTGCTCTACTGTCATATGTCAAAGAAAACACGATTCAATCAAACGAAAAAATTTGCAGCTTTTATATTTTATTTAAAAAACATAAAATCACAATAAAACAGTAGCCATCAGGTACTGGGAGAATAAGGCATGCGTTGTTCACTTCTTTTGATGTTGAATCCTTATTCATTTTCGCCCAGTTTTTCTGGATTCTTTAAGTTACTCAGAAAATTGCATTACAAGTCACTCAATTCTGGGTCCCTTATCAAATTATTACATTATCAAGCTTATAGGTGGCTAAAGCCTTCGGACTACAGAATAGCCTTTATGTGAAGGAATATATGCCATATGTACTTTTGAATGGAAAACGATTTGCTGTCTTTAGGTTTTAAACCATTCTGAATGTATGCATGGTCATACCTAAACCTTTTGAATTTGTATGGAAAATCAATTGAAGTTCCTTCACACATTCTGCCATTGAGGGCCTCTCGATACTCTCTATTCGGACACAGCGAGAAGCTAGGTTTGCAAACATGGCTATAGACTCCATTGTGTATGAACTCCGGCTCATTTCTGGATCAATCACCTTTCGCTGCTTCTTTTTATCGTTCAAGATATGCCTAACCTGCAACATTCCAGAGCATTCCTTACAACATTGGAGATAATATCGTGATTTCCTTGGTATTGGACAAACTAGGATCCAGTCGAATAACAAATTGTCTTTACCTGTAGGACTAGGTTTTGGTCATAGGGTCCTTGGTTCAGGTCCACCGCTCTCCGTCCAGTCAAAAGCTCAAGCAGAACAACCCCAAATGCATAAACATCACTTTGCAAAGTGAGTTTTCCTGTCTATTGCACATGACTGAAACTCAGTCTCTCTTTCCAAAAAAATAAAGGGAAAAAACACCCAAACCCCACTGCTAATGGCTTCAGTTATACCAATGTAAAGAAGCCCCTTCGAAGGTTTGTATCGTTTCTTGGGTTACTGGATTTTATGATTTTCATTCCAAAGTATAGTTCTTGGTTGAAATTTGATAGATTCTTTGAGTTGGTGCAATAAGTTGTTTATATGGCCTGTTAATTAGGATCGTCAGGCATGCTTTTGGTACAATTTTCTTTAAATCTTTCATGCTTTGAAGAACATGTGAGGCTTCTAAGGAATTAAGGTGACATTAATTGTTCAATATGATACGGTTTTGTCAAGGATATGGGTAGCTTCTTGCATGTCCATGTCAATAGAGGAATTCGAGAAGATATTGTGTCTGAATGAAGTTGAAAGTGATAGTAGGAAGAAGAAAACTACTAAATTCATCAATGCCGTTCTTCATTTGGTTCCTTATTTTTCATCTGTCAGATTCGTTTGTGTTGTAATTGTGCATATTGTACATACTTAGTCTTATTAATTAACTACTCAGTTTGTTCTTGGCATATAGAAATCTATACTAGCATCATTTTATTATCGTATGTGAGCTTCATTTTTTATCAGTATGCTCAGTCTGTATTAAGTTAGAACCATTTAACATATAGGTTTGCTGATTTCTATTTTAGGCTCTGGCCCAGCGAAAAAGCCAATGTGCTAGTTTCATAGTTTATGTTCTCTCCGTGTCAATTTCTTTGTCGGATAAATGATAATTGTTAAAACACCCCTCCTTCTACCTCCCTGATTTAAAGTCAAAGCACTATCGACATGATAATTGTGCTGGAGTCAGTATGATGTCCAAATCATGATTCAATAATATAATGATAAGCTATTTGCGAACAAAATGCGAATGGTTTATGTTGGTATCGTCTATGGGGCACTATTCTGGAATTATGCCAAAGTTTTCAGCAATGCGGTTAGATGACCTGTAGGTCAGGAATTCTGTCTCATCTCTTTCCTTTTTCAGAAGGGGCATTGGTTGGCATCTTCTTAAGGCAAGTGAGGAACTAATATCTCAAATGAATTCCTCAAGGGAGGTTTACTTGCACTGCAGGATGATTGATGAAGCTCCATTCAAAATGTATACAAAAGCAGGTTATAGTATTGTTAAGACAGATAGCATCTTGATCTTGTTGACATTGCAGAGACGTAAGCACTTAATGCGCAAGCAACTTCCAGTCTCAAACAGACTTTCTGAAATGGATATCTTGGATTCTAATGAGGAACGTCCTTCATGATTGGATGTGGGAAAATGGAACATACTTTATGAGGTACCGGCGGTTACTACTACATGTATTTCTTTTGTCAAAGAAACACATAGTTTCCCTGAAACTGTTGCATTTTTCCGTGTGAATCACGGTTGTAAATTGTCCAAGTTGTAGAATACGTTTCTTTTTTTTTTCGTGGAATCTTTGCTACCTTCCCTGTGAATACTGTCTTAGAGAAATGTCTGCAGTGGACTATTGAATTCAATATCCATCCTGTTCAATCTATGTTATTCAATGCTTCCTAATTTCTGTTTTGGATCCCACTGGTAACATCGTGGTCTAATCGGCTCTTTAAGATAACCCAAATGCACTAATTTTGGGCTTGAATGCCAATCCGATTGTTTAGGGTGCCCTCGCTCTTGTGTATCATGTTTTTGGTTGAGCCATGTTCCCTGATAAGAAAATTGCATCAGAGTTCCTCATCTTTCAATANATTCATTATAAATGAAGGTGGCCAAGGAAATTAACTAGAAAACAACATTGAAAACTGCTGTATGGAAGAAACATAACTGATTACTGATCAACAAAGACAACTTGAATTTTTTCCTTGTTCTGGGAAGATCCATACCAATGTATACTCGGGGTCAAAATAGCCAAAAGTACCGAGCACTCTTGCTGTCACACAGGTTTCCTGGCCCTCTGGCATCAACTTTGCAAGCCCGAAATCAGATATCTGTGCATACATCCAGTAAAGCCTTAGCAAGTGGTGTATCATAAAGCAATTTCAACCTATTATGCTGAAACTTCATAAAGAAATACTCAAGTTTACCTTTGCTTCATAGTTGGTGTTCAAAAGAATGTTGGTGGATTTGAAGTCTCTGTGAATAATTGGTATTCCAACAGAAGAACTTGAATGGAGATAAGCAAGGCCTCTTGCTGCACCAAGTGCCACTTTGAGCCTCAGAGGCCAACCCATCTTGACTTCCCCAATTCCTAGAATCCAGTTTAAAGTTAGTTCAAAGTGAATGCTCTAGTGCTTCGACTAGCGAATGGACTTTTCTGAGGCAAATACCAACCATTTAAGTGATCTTGCAGATTCCCTTTTTGCATATATTCATAAACTAGAAACCTCTGCTTCCCGTCTGCGCAATAGCCTATCAGAGAAACCAGATTTGGATGTTCCAATCTGCTCAGGATGTCAACTTCCACACGAAACTCTTGTTCCCCTTCCGCCAATTTAAATGGTGGTAGCTCCATTTTTTTGATTGCTACAACCTTCCAATTCCAAAGCAAAGAATTGAAGTGTTTAGGAGTCTAGCTATTGTGATAATAATGGAACTAAGCTCTGGTATTGCTGAACATTTGTCAAAGTATGCATTTACTTTTTTTTTCTTTTGTCTTCACAGTATGCATAAACTTTTTTTTTATTTCGTCTTCACAGTATGCATAAACTTAAGTTGGTGGAAATTCAGAGTTAGGTAAACAGTTGGTCTAGGTAGAAATTAAGAATGACATCGAGTAATTTTATTGAAAAATCACTTGAAATATTAGATTTTTCTGTTTCCTGGAAGCAGGTGGGGGGGGGGGGGGGGGGGGGAAAAATTTTTT